GCAATGAAAGCAAAGTGGTATGAGGGCTGACTTTATATGCCTTCAGCCCTCTGGTCTACGCTCATTGTCCTCCTTCGAGACCGGACGGGGGGTGACCATGAAGGATCGCATCGTCGTCCACCTCATTTCTTATTGATGAGCTACGGACAGTTTATTGATTGAGCATGCTCGGAGAAACGGCGCCTACAAACAGAGGGAGATTCCTCTTCCCAGTGATGTATGATGACGAGTGATGTTTACAAAATTTGACTAACTCTGCCATCTTGTTTCCCACTCTTCAGCTCTGCCCAACTATAGTACTTTGTGAACTATTACTTTTTGTAAATACTAAGCAGGCAGGGTTTATCACCCTTGATCAGGCCAACCAACCTCCTTGTGAAATAAAGTCTTCAGTTGTCGTATTTATTCTACTTTTCACTGCCTCACTGAGCGTTCGAGTATTGTGACTTCAGCATAGCGCACTGAGCACATATTATACTGGCATCGCCGAGATTCGCCCTTCGATGGTAAGTACTTTCGTTTGTGATTTTTTAGTAAGTCTAATAGCTCATTAATGTAAAGCACATATAGAGGGAGATTTCCTTGATTTGAATCCTGATCCTTTGAATTGTAGAAGTTTGGACGGGGCTCCAACGGAAACTGATCTGGGACTTGCCCAGCAACAAATACTAAGCGCCCACCCGACAAGTATTTCATGAGCATTGGAGCCCACTCGCTTCCTTTGAACATACAACCTAAGCAGGCCACAACTCTCCCGGTCCCCGCAATCCCCAGTATCAACAACCCGAGACGATTCATAACAAGATGCCCATGAAACAGCTAATTCAACTGTCAGCAACTCTGAATGCAATGCAAACAGAGATGAACTTCCTTGACTTCTTCTTCACCAAAGCAGGTCATAAGAGCTTGTCAACTGCTGTAGAGATTGGCTTCCACTCAGAACAGTTCAACAAACATTCACAGTCTGCATCAGTTAAATTTGAGCATCTAAATCTTTTTGTCAAGTTTGAGTCATCTGTGACAGTTGAAGAAGCCCTAACTCTTCACATGCTTCAAACCTCTAAGATATCTGTCTCAGAGATGTTTGGTTGGAGAGTTGATCAAAATTCTGTGTTCATTTATATGGAGCTTATTCACAGAGATACATTATATGATTGATGGCATTCTCTCAATGAGCTGGATAGAGACTTTATTTGCAGTCAGTTACAGGAGATTATTTCTTCTCTTCAGCAAACTGAGCCAGATCCTTGCAACTCATTTATTGGTATGCATAGTTATATCTCACAATGTTTATCAGTGGAGTTGCTTACTGGGGTATAGAATCCATCAACCACACATGTTTGCACAATTATGTCTTCACAACCATCCCTCAATCAGGACCTTTTAAAAATGTGAAAGCATTCAATGATTGATTTTCTTCTCTGATTCAGAGTACTGGGAGTATTGCAAGTCTTTATACATATCAGACTATAAGGAGGAATGGCGCAATGTTTGGATTCCAAAATTCTTAACTGCATACAAGCCTGAGTTTGCTGCTTTTGATGAATATGTGTTGAAGATTGAAGCAGTATAAGTATTGATTTTTGTACTTAGTCTTCTAAATTACATTTGTCATGATCATTTACTGAGCTTTTCTTTCCAATATCTTTTATAAGCTATGTACTCAAGTGTGCTTCACCCAATACTGATGATTGACCAGAGAACCTATTGCTAAATGCCAAAAATCAAAATGAAAAATGGGATTTACTAAGAAGGGCCTCATTGACCAGTTGGAACTCCACAGTCATATCAGAAAACAAAAATAAACAACATGGTTCAAATCCAAATAGAGCTAGCCCAGTATCACAATCAACAGTAACAAATATGGCATTTCACATCCGATTTATGCACAAATTCTGAGTTCACTGACCCCTGCCTCGACCACGCCCGCCGCCAACCGGGTTCAAGCCAACACTGTGATTTGGAGGATCGCGTGCAGACTGAACAATCTGGATCGCATTTTCATTGATATATTGATGGTGGACTAGACAGCGTACATAATCCATTGTCCATTCTTGGCACCTTCTGTTGGTAGAGACCCGATTGGAAATACTCCGTAAGGGATCCTGCCGCGAGCGCACGGTGGGATGAGTTTTCGGTCAAAGCCGATCTTCCCAACCCAACGCCGAAGACATCGTCAATACGGGTAGAGACACCACGCATATGATCTGGAATGTCAGCTGGCGACAATAAAAGTGGTAAAGAAAATAGAAGCCAGTCTGACGACCAGTTTCGTCCAGAGGCCGTGCACCCGTGCATTCTCCGTGAGGGAGCAGCGAACGCATTCAATGAGAGTTGTGTGTGTAGTCTTTGAGGCATGTATCGATTCCCTCATGTTGGAGTATCGAGTTCTGGATAAAAATCACTCACGTCTGCTGCCCGGCAACACCAGCAACCCACTTAAGCAAGAGAGAAGGGCCCCAAAATGCGAGAAGAGGTAGAGGAAGATCCGAGGACTGGCAAAAGTTCTTAAAATTTTCATCAGAACCAGGATGTCTCAGCATAGCAATTCATCTTATTATCTTATTTATTTAAATGGCGAGATCAATAGGGGATTCCAACCGATATTTGGGTATGCGCAGTATAATAGTATTTAGGTTGTTAAATGCTACAACTAGCCTGCAAGATCCGCATCTTTGAACTGAACATGATTTTGCACTGATGTCGCTTGGTCGGCAATATGTAATATTCAAATAGTAATGGAGCATACATGGCTGGATGTAGCCGAAAGAAATCCTCTCAAAATGCAGAAGCGGCTTACTGGAGATGAAGCCCTGTCATCGGAAAGGAAGAACAATCCACCGTCCCCTGTGCTTGGTGCTTGAGCCGCACCTTGATCGACGCGGCAGACTACTCCACTTCAGCAAGAGAACTGCATATCTGTCCAGCTCCATTCTTCACACCCATTGCTCCCAGAATAGTCCCATTAGTGTCAAAGGACGACCAGGCCTGGTGATGTCTACATATCCATCCATGACCACAGACGGGGGACTGGATCTGTGATATCTATCATGACTTTGAGGAGCAAAAGTTGACCTCTGACCGACCCCTGGACAAACCCCAACTCAAGTGAAGCCGGTTGTTGGCAACGTAACGGCTCCCTCACAGCATCTCTATAAAGACGGCCGGTTAAGCAATAATACGAAAGTAGCTTCACGAAAATCAAGGAGCCCATCAAGCGTGAGGGGCCATACCCTTTGAATACAGTTGTCTCCAATCATGTTCCAACTTTCTTCCCTCGTTCAGAAGGCGCAGGCCTTCATTGACCCGGCTAATTTTCTGCTTCCTTCTTCCTCTTCTGACCGGAATCCTTCCAAGGCATCTCTTTTCCGCCAACAATTCCGTCTCCCTGATTCTCAGAATCCGCTCCAGGAAATAAGCGCTGAACTGGTCTTACCCGTCCCCTTCTTGACACCCTCGCATGCCACACAGGGCACCAAGGATGCAGAACGACCAGGAAACAGATACGAAGGAAACTTGCATTTGAGCGAGCGGTTCTTGTGTTTTTCAACGCAGCATACTAGTTTTTTGTCAGCCGCTAGCTTTGGTGCTTCGTCAGCATTCACGGGTCAAACACATGGGACGGGACCTTCGGGCAATGGGTTCACAATCCCACTATGCGCAATTCGAAGGGTGGAACGTTTGAACAGCCTTAGCCATGTGTTCTCACTGGCGTTGACGACGTGGAATGGAGCACTGGTAAAAACTAATGCGAAGGACACCCCGGCGGCACCGCAACGGTTCACTTTGCATCTGATAGGGAGTAGACACGCGTGTGAACGGTTCTGTGATGGTCTAAAGAGAGGTTTGAGAGAAGGAATGAAAGATGTGGATAATTTACGGATGGTTGTCGCAGAGTGTCATTCTGAGTACTTGCTCAGTGGGCGAACGACTAAGTCAAATGACAAACCCGACCAGAATGCACCTGTAAGGGAGCCGCCTGACACAGGTTTAGGATTGGTGTTCAGGTATCCTGGGGATGCTCGGAAACTAAGGGACCGAAGTAAAATGAGGTTATGGGGAGAGTATTTTAGAGGTATGGTTAGTTTTTTATTTTGCTCACGGATTACTTTTTCCCGGATGGCTATTGATTTTAAGTAGAAAACGGTCGTAATGCAACCCTAATTCGTCAACCGACCTTCCACAAATTAATACGTGTTGGCCTTCCCAATAGGCTTCGAGGAGAGATATGGGAGCTAACGTCCGGGTCGTTCTATGCACGCATCCGATCTCCAAAGTTATATACAGAAACACTATCAAAATTTTCTGGACGCGAGTCCCTCGCTATAGACGAAATCGAAAAAGATCTGAACCGTAGTCTTCCTGAATATCCAGGATTCCAGAGCGAAGAAGGTATTGGTCGGCTACGGAGAGTTTTGACTGCTTACAGTTGGATAAATGAAGAAATTGGTTATTGTCAAGCCATGAATATCGTTGTTGCCGCGTTATTAATGTGAGTCTGGCCCACTTTGCGCGTTAATATAAATGAACCAAGTTGACTATTGCACAGATATACGTCTGAAACGCAAGCTTTCTTCTTGTTATCGGTCCTATGTCAGCGTCTTCTACCTGGTTACTACTCCACAACAATGTACGGAACACTTCTGGACCAGAAGGTTTTTGAATCGCTTGTGGAGAAGACAATGCCTGTTCTCTGGGAACATCTAGTTCGATCAGATGTTCAGCTCTCGGTTGTGTCTCTTCCGTGGTTTTTGTCACTATATATCAACTCAATGCCTCTCGTGTTTGCATTTCGTGTTCTCGACGTGTTTTTCCTGGAAGGACCTAAAGTCTTGTTTCAAATTGGGTTAGCCATCTTGCGAATCAACGGCGAGGAGCTTCTTGATGTGACCGATGATGGAACCTTCATTTCGGTTTTGAAGTCTTATTTTTCGAGGCTCGATGAATCGGCCCATCCTCGCTCTGAAAACCCTAAATAAGAGGCAATTACACGATTCAAGAGTTAATGGT